GTGTTTTGGTTTATCCTGTCTTATATCCTGATTGCTGTGCTGCTACCAGACTCTGTTGCCATTAATTCCTGATTCTGCTTTTGCTCCCTGTTACCTTGCTGCCTTGCTCATTCTCAGGTTTGTTTCCCCTTCCCATTTGCTTCCCCAGAATTCCCCCTGCCTTGCATATTTCACTCTTGTACATATTTGTATATTTAGTTAGTAGTTTAGGTTTCTGCATTTTGGTTGTTCAGTTTTGATTTTCATGCATTTTTATGTTTACCTCTGTTGGTGTGTGTTTATTGTTCACTGTAAATAAACCTCACATTAAAGATATATACACGTGGTCTGGTTCCAGTTTCTTGGTGTAGCTACGATGATCTGGTCATCACTTATGGTACTTTGTGAACCTTGCTATATCCTTAAACTTGCATAGACTTTTGACTCCTGAAACAAACAGTAGGTTTTTAACTTTTTTATTTATTATAAGGATTATGCATGCTCATGTACAAATATAAGTATATCATATTATTATTTTCTTGGGAAAGCAAATGTAATTATAAACTGAAAATGTCACTAATCCAGATACAATGCTGCAGGCACACAAACCAGTAGGCCTATTTAGGTGTAACATTTTGTTTCTGTATAATTTGCTGGTATGAGTAAAGACTGAGATCTTAGAAATAATATAGATCGAGAAATAACCAAGAAAACTGTGAAACGGAATACATTTTTTCAGAAGGTATACATGTTTTGAAGTATGAAAGCTTTTCAAGTTTTTAGTGTACTTTGAAAATTGTTTTAATACCATGATAATAAAATAAAAGCTTAAGTACAGTCTTTTTCCTGTAAAAGAAAACCATTAGGGTTCATCCACATGGGCACGTTTTAATAACTGGGATTTTAAAAAGGCACATAGACAAGCAAATCACTAGTTTCAGCTGCTGCTACTGCTAGAAAATTATTTAATCTAAAGGGTTTTATATAAGTTTTTATAAAAAATACTGAACAAATCGTAGAAGATTCATAAGCCATTTGAGTTCATGGAGTTACTTTGTAAACTTCCACAGAAAGCCAGTTTCTTTCTTTGTTTATTGGTATCCTGGCATGGTTGGTAAGCTTACTCGGTATAAGGCTTTTTGTGAAACCTAATCTGAGTCTTATGTTACCCTTTGCAGACAGATCATACCCACCTCTGCTCCGTGTCAGTGGGAGGCCAGTCTGAGCTATGTATCTTCAGCTTTCTCTAATTCCTCCATCACATTCAAAGTTCCTGGTTTGAATCTAATTGGTTGCTAGGAGAAACAAAGAGTGCGTTTCAGCATCACCAATGGTGATCATCAGACTACAGGCCAACAAAGTGGGATGGGTTGGAGTAGAAATACAATTTCTGGATGTCTTGGAGGAATGGGGGGAGGAAATGAAGTTCTGAGTAGGTAAGCTATGTTCGCTTGATGTATCTGAAAAGTTTTTATTTTCAATTTTATAATGTACCTGTAGGATGAATTACAAATTCCTATGCTTTTATCAAAGCCATGTATGTTTTTTCCTGACTGTATCCTTATTAGATGAGCTTGTTTTTGGTGAGCACAATAAAATCCAAAGAACAAAAATGTTATGTATTGCATCGTACCAGTCCTTAGATGTTATTATTATTATTACACTGGATTTATATAGCACCAACAGTTTGCTCAGCGCTTTACAATATAATGGGAGACAATACAGCAACAATACAGTTCAATACAAGAGGGTTGGGAGGTTACAATCTAGAAGATGGAAGCTACATTGGTTTTCTTTAATTTCATGCTTTTTGTCTAAGGCTCCATGTACACGGGACGTTTGGAAAACACTTTTGAATGATGGAAAATGTAGGTTAAAAAATATCTGTTTAGCCGCGTTTGCATACCGCGTTTATGCGCATTTATGACCGTTTGCGTTTAGAAGCGTTTTTTACAGATAACTTCAGGAGACCTTCCAAAATGCCCAGAATTCACTGAAAAACAGTAGAAATTAACTATTTCAGACAATTTGAGAGAAATAGAGAGAGCAGAAGCAGAGAGAGCAGTATTTGTTGAGATTAGCTGTGGTGTTTGGATGTGCTCCAGCTCATTTCTGTGCAGAAATGATTGCAGCAGTGTCTAACATATTTTCTTTCATGCAAAACCTCAAAGTATGGTGTGGCAGGTCCATTTGAGTACCGGGAAAATGCTCTGCATGCATTTTTCATGATGAAAAAAGGATCTGTACAGCACCTGGAAATGGAAGAATTAGAAAAATATTCTGAACGCTTATAAGCGCGGTTAGCCGTGTTTACACTAGTTTAAAAGTGTTTGGCGTTTGAAACGCTGATAAAATCTACTCCTGAACGCAAGTTTGGCGCACTCAAAAAAAAGACTGTAAACCTAACTGCCTGTAAACAACATAGTGTACATGGACACATAGGAAAACATTAGGGAGAGTTCAAGGGCTGCTGAAAAAAACGCAGAAAGGCTCCCAAACGTGAGTTTTAACAGCTGCAGTGTACATGGAGCCTTAGCTTTCACCTTTTAATTTTGCCAGTAATGCGCTTCCTGTTCTAAGGTGAAAGTGTTCACTCACCATATTGAATCTATGGTTGCAATGTCACCTTAGGTTGCTTGTTCCTTATCTGGACTACAGACCTCCTAAATCCTACAAAAGTTGGATATGTTCTGTAGACTAAAAAGGAGAATGCAGACAGAGCTAATAACATGCAGGAGATTTCACTGCAACAGAGGCACAGCAAGCTATAACATGTAGTTAATAGGTCACTTGATTTATGGCAGCATCAACAGGTGATATTTTTGCACAAGATTTAACAAAACACTTTCAACAGTATGTTCAGCAGACCAAAAGGATTCAAGTAAGAAAAGCTAATTGTTGGAGTACTCATAAACTTGGTTACACCACTGACTAGTTTGCTAAAATATTGCAAGTTCTGTATGAAAACATAATGTAAGACAGGTAGGGAGGAGCACTGGGCACTTAATAGGTATATTTGACTGCAAACTACAACCCCACCCAGCCCATTCAGCCATCTTTTATTAGGGCCGGATAGCAAGGATCAAAAATATAGACTCATTCTGAAGTAAATTAAAGGGCAAAAAACTCATCAGACTCTATAAATCGGTTAAGTGATTTTTTTTATTAAAAAGTTGATATACCATAAAAATTTGTTAACAATTAAAGTAGACTATATGCAAAACTTTTGTTTCATTTTAGATAGATGAAGGGGAGGTATATCCCCTGTCAGATTTTTTTTCCTTCTGTGTCCCATTTCAGAGATCTCCCTTCTCTTCCTGTCCTGTAACCAAACAGGAAGTGAGAGGAAATCCTGGCAAATGAACCACTTTAGGTCCGGACACTTTTACCCCCTTCCTATCCAGGCCAATTTTCAGCTTTCAGCGCTATCACACTTTGAATGACAATTGCACGGTCATGCAACACTGTACTCATATTCATTTATTAGCTTTTTTTGTTAGACAGATAAAGCATTATTTTGGTGGTATTTATTCACCACTGAGATTTTTATATTTTTTTTCGCTATATAAATGAAAAAGTCAAAAAATGTGTTTTTCTTATAAAATTTTGCAAATAAATAATCTTTCTTCATAAATCTTGGCCAAAATGTATTCAGTCATCTTTTTAGTAAAAAAAAATAACCCAAATTAGTTTATAATCAAACTTTTTTACATTTTTATTTTTTTTTTTATATTATTATTTATGTTTTTTTTTTTTTACATACTGTCACCCTAGCAGTACAGTGTCACCTAACAGGGGCACAGACAAAAAAAAAAAAAAAAAAAAAAAACTACAGGTTCTCTAAACTATCTCCACTCTATCCAAAACAAAAAATAGTATTGCCTTTAGTTGTACTTTAACTTTCCTTTTCAATCTTCAGGTTGCACAACACAAACCCTGAAATTACATTTCTGTTAATGTGATTGTCTCCCAGTAGCTATTTCTTAGTATAACCCTGGAAGTGGTCATATGTAGTGTATATAGCAGAAAGACCCTTCCACTTAAAGTGATTGTAAACCCATTCCTTGTAAAACAACCCATTCAGTTTAAAATAGAAATTAAACTTTTGTATATAGGTATAAAAACCATTACAAACACAAATTTACCCTTTTTTATGAGTGGTCACATATTCTTTGTTCTCAGCTGTGTAAGAGCTGGGGAAAGAGAAATTGCAGCACACTGACATTCCCAGTGAAAGGGTATGTATTGGGGGAGGGGGGTGCAGAAGTGCAGAAGACATCTGATCACTGGAGGAGAGGAGGCTGTGTTTCCAGAACACCTAGAGAACTGAACATGTTATCCTGCCTAGTGTGGCCAGTTTTTAATAGAAAAGCAGAGGGACTGGCAGAACACCAGGGATTTCACACAAAGGAAGCAATACAAAGATAATAGGACACTTTTTCATACAAGTATATGGTACAGCAGGCACATATCAAGAATATGAACTGGTGGGTTTACATGTGTTTAAATACTCAATAAGCAGGATATGACTGGAATGCACATGTCAGTACAAGCAGATACAAATTTGCAATAAAGATTGAAAATATACTTTATTGGATAAAATTTTTTTCACTTTAACAACATTTTAATTTTACTTTAAATATACTTTTTAATCTGATATGGTCAGAATTAAAAAACACACTTTTTTTTTTGGTTAAGTAACTACAGCCAGCAGATGAAACTATTTACTACTTTTCACCTGTTTTTTTAGGTTCTCCTTAAATCCTATAATGAAAGAAGCCCATTGTTTATAGAGTTCAATAGCTCAAGCTTGAATGTAACCACTTTACTACTGTGCTATAGCTGAATGATGGCTACAGCGCGGTCATCCAGTTCTGGGAGGGCTTTAGATGGCATCCTCCTAGAATGTGCCCCCTGCACGTCCCCAGTGGTGCACACTTGGCGCTGTCTGTGATCGCTGTGTCCTTTGGACACAGCTGATCACAAAACATCGTAAAAGGTCAATTATAGCAGCCTTTTACCATGTGATCAGCTGTGTCCAATCACAGCTGATCACTGTGTAAATACATTTGCTGGTTATCGGCAGTACTTTCCTCACGTGTCACAGCGTGAGGAAAGTACTGACGGTAACCAGCAATTGTCAAAGCAGACATCTGCACTGATAATCAGGGCACTGATTATCAGTGCCATGATTATCAGTGCAGCCACAAAAGCACCCATCAGCACTGTTCAGCAGTGCCCAACAGTACTGCCCATCAGTTCCCAAGAGTACTGCCAATCTGTGCCCATCAGTGCTGCCAGTCTGTGCAGTCAGTCAGTGATGCCAGTCAGTGCCTCCTATCAGTGCCCTTCAGTGCTACTTATTAGTGCCCATCAGTGCAACATATCAGTGCCCACCAGTGCTGCCTCATCAGTGCCACATATCAGTGCCCACCAGTGCTGCCTATCCGTGCCACCTCGTCGGTGTCCATCAGTGCTGCCTATCAGTGCAGCCTCATCAACGCACATCAGTGAAGGAGAAAAATCACCTGTTTATAATAGAAACAAAGAAAACCTTTTTTTTGTTTTCAAAATTCAAAATGTTTGCTCTTTTTTTGTTTATAGTGCAAAAAAATAAAAAACCCAGTGGAGATTAAATGCCACCAAAAGAAAGCTCTATTTATGTGAAGAAAAATTTAAAGAATTTAGTGATAAAACTGTGCAAACGTTATACTTAAAAACTTTTAAGTGCAAAAATTATACTTAAAAAAGTCATATGTCTATAAGTATTAGGGCTAATCAAAATCCCAAAGATGGCATCGATTCCAGGCTCAGATGTCACATAAAGAGACCTGAGCATCACCCAACAACAGTCACGATAGCTGATGTGTTTGATGAGCATACCCTCTTCCTCACAGCTCTGAGAGAGTGGGCATACCTCTCAAAGCACATAAACGATTGTTTCTGTTGTTGGATGATGCTTAAGTCTCTTTATGTGACACCTGTGCCTGGGATGGATGCTGTCACTAGGGTTTTGATTGCTTCTTAATACCTTTTTTGAGTATGTTTATTGCACTTTGTTTTATAAATACATTGTTTTTAGGTAATCCAAACAGCTTCTGCAAGGCTTTTGTTTTATTTTCTATTTAGCATTGAAGATTTACCCAATTAAAAGGAGGCTGCATAGCTGGAAGCAATTCCTTACAATTATTCCATTTATAGAATGTATTCTACTGAAGTGGAGATTTATATCCATGTCTTAGGTCACAAGGTGGCCTTTTCTTATGTTTTTTCATATTACTTTAGCTTTGATATGTGTGTTTTTTTGTTATGCAAGTGAACAATTTAGGAAATTACTCATTCTCCTCACTCTCTCTTCCCTTTGTTGTGTACTGATGTTCCCTCCAGAGTGTCACAAGTGCACACTATATTAAATGCTTATTTGTAAAATAAGAATTCATTGTAGTAGCAATAATAGATACAAATATAACTTCTGGAACCAGTAAACGTAAAAACATGATCACAAAATAAACTGGGTTAAAATCATATAATATCACTTCAAAGATGAACTCTAGGCAGATATAGAGCTCTGTAACCACATGCCAACCAATCCATGCAGGTTTACTGCAGGCCAACAGCTCTCCTGCGACATATCACATACAGTATGTGATCTGGGATTTCTAAGGAGTGGGCTCACATGCCTACCTCCCCAGCTGTGCTGTCATTCACTACAGCACAAGCTGATCAGCAGGTCTGGCCAAAGATTTATGGCCAGGACTGGCTGATCAGTTGAGGCGAATGACAGAAGAGTAAACAACACAGGGCTCTCTACAGACAGCAGCAATGTGCATTTTTTTTCTCCCTGCAAAGCAGAAAGTAAAAAACCAGCACATTGCTTAGTGAAAACAGCACACAGTCCACACAGTTACCATTTGTAGGCACACAGTTAACCTTTTGAGTGCCTCTAAATGTTAAACCCTTCCCAGTCAGTGTCATTGGTACAGTGACAGTGAATATTATTAGCACAGATTACTGTATTAACCACTTTCTGCCTGCCCGCCTATGATGTACTGCAACGGATGGCAGCTACAGGACCAGCAAAGTACCAGTACGTTGCTGTTTATTTCCCGGGTTAGGAACAAGCCGTCATTCACTTCAGGACATGCTTGTCAGCAGGTCCTGCAGAGTGATTTTTGCCTGAGACTCTGCTGATGTCCTACAGCAAATGGAGAAGCAGAGCTGTGCCTCTAAATACAGGCACAGGATCTAGTTGGATCTTTTCTCCTTGGAACCAATTTGTCCCAGGGAGAGAAGAAAGAGACACCACGCATGAGTAAAAGCAGCACATTTGCACCCATACCTTAGATAGACAGATTTTAACCCCTTGAATTCTATATTTAACCCTCTGATTGCCCCAGACTCCCTGCCAGCATGCTTAGTACAGTGTCAGTGTATAGTATTTTTAACTGATCACTGTATTAGTGCCACTAGCAACAACAGATAGCATCTGATAGCATCAGTGTCAGTTAGTGTTCCTCCCAGCCAGGGTCAGCTAGCGTTAGATTGCCTTCACACTATTGCACTCATGCTATAGGTCACTGATTACTCTTATTACTAGTATAGTGTTCGTACGGATCAATATATTAGTGGTTGAAGCAGTACCTGACATCCACAAGCTCTTTTTCCCGCGAGTCCACAAGTGAAGAGGCCTACAGGATTCTGAGCATGTCAGATGAGAGCGAAGGGGAAGCCTCTCTGATAGAATCCACCTCAGAATACAAACGTGTAGAAAGCAGCGGCATCTCAACAGGTAGCTCGGACAAAAGAGAAGTTGTCCCTGTTAAGATCAGGCATACCTGACCTCATGAAGCTAAAGTGCCAGTACTATTGCTTTTCTATCTTTTGGTGAACTGGCGAGCACCAGTGGCCTAATACATCCTGGTCTTTTTCATACCAGCACTGCAGTATCACTTGGTGATGTGGTGAGTCCCATAAGTGCAGTACAAGCTGGTGAGGTGGCGAGCACAAGTAGTGTCCCGCAGCCACCAAGAATTCTAACACAGGCCATAGCCCATAGTATTCTTCCGAATGTGCTTATAAATCCTGATTGGCAGCCCATAGATTCTGCAGCACCTGTATATCCCTCATTCACTGAACAACACATAATTCAGGTGGAAACAGCAAATTTAGTTAGTCTCCTTGATTATTTTGAGCTGTTTTTCACAGAAGATTTGTATAATTTGATTGTGGTCCAAAGCAATTTATACGCACTACAATTTATCTGCACCAACCCAAAGTCAGCTCTTGCCAGACCATTCACATGGAAACCTATCTTGGTTTTTTAATTTAAAACTTTTTGGGCATTATAAAATAGGTTGTGCTCCACAGGTCTAATTCATCATATGGTAAAAGGTAGATTTTAGAGGTTCAAAAATAAATTGCTGTATCACCCAATATATGGCTTCCATCCAGTAGCCAAAAAACATGCAGACAAAAAAGGGGGGTTTGTGAAAAGAAATTCACAGAAAAGCGGCTACACATTATGAACAGAATGCGATACTCAGAAAAATTTCCAAAAAAATTATGCTTTATTTCACATTAATGATTGACATATGGGCAATCTCCCTGGTTTACCATCACCTCAGTATGAAACAATACACACAGTGTGCTGCAAAGGCTATGACCACAATAGTCTAAAGCACTTGCAGCACTGGCACATAGGTAACACTTCCTAAAGGAGGTATGTACAAAAATTATACCATAGGTATGCAATATCACATGCTATATAAATATATATAAGCATATATCATTACCATATAGGTTACACCCCATAAAGGGGATTTTCCAAAAATTATACCAAAGGTATATCATATCACATGCATGCAAAACGACGGACACAGTATACGTCAAAAGAGAGGCATAACCCTGAGCCTATAAAAGGCAATATATGGGTAAAACATAATATATGCAGTACAACCCTATGCCGGCACACGTGGTTGGGGCCCATTAATCTGTAATAAACGTGAATAGTAGTAAGGATTCTTATAATTGAAAGAGTCCATGTTGTTGCCTTGATGGAAAGATAGATGCAAATAGCAGAACTCTGCTTTAAATGGTTTCTTCACCACAGCATGTGGACTGCAAACCACTTTAGTGTTGGAAACAAGATAAGGCCCAGTAGATCTTCCGCCTGTTGTAATATATGTAGTATGCCTTGTTTCTATATAAAGCACCATAATGTCCCCATCCTGTAATAAGACAAACGATATAAGGATAGTCACTGTAAGAGCTTTCACTCTATAGTAGATGTATATTATCATATAGATCGCAAGGAACCTTTTTCAAATGTCCTGTAACAGTCCACTCACCACCTGTGCTATGGGTAGTAGAAATGCCCATGTTCTCTGCTGCCATGGCCAAGCATAGATATGAGACGATAATACGCTTCTTGCATTTTAGTGATAACACACTCTGTCATCCTTGGGGTGACCATGAACATGACTGTCTGTACAAAATTCGTCCCCTCATAAACCACCTCAGCAAAACATCTGCGTGGATGAGTCCCTCATTTACTTTACTGACTGCCTTGCATACAAACTGTACCTCCCCAGCAAGTGTGCCAGATCTGGGGTCAAATTGTATAAGCTCTGTGAAAGGGCCATAGGCTGTACATACAATTTTAGGGTTTATGAGGGAAGACAGTGAAGTAGAGCCCCGGACTGCCCTGTGACTACATGGAGAGCAGTGGCAAGATAGTATGTAAATAACTTTTATACAAGCATGTCACTATTTAGACATTTGTAAAATCTTAAAATTGGCTCAGGTGTCACCGTGCAACCTAATCGCCGGGAATCTCCTAATCGCTTGTAAACACTTAACTTAAAAAGGAGCGAAAGCATGCTTGAGAAATGATGAATTTCTTGCAGTGAAGTGGAAGGAAAAATGGGATGTTTTTGTCCTGTCTTCATTTCACACAGGCATGATGACCCAAATTAGCACAGTATCTGGCTTTGTAGAGAAACCCCTCTGTAACCTTAACATGAGGGTTTGGACTTCAACGACCAAATAATGAATCTATACTTAGTTTCCCGCAAAGTTCGACACTGGTACAAAAAGGTGTCTATTTATTTATTTCAATTAGCTATATATAATGCTTTCGTAATTTGCAAAGCAACTGGACAAAGTGCAGGAACACCATTCAGTTGTTGTTTTATTGAGTTATTGTTCTATTGTTACTGTGTTTACTGTGTGACCATTCAGCTGCAGCACCAATCAGTTTATTCTGACAGAAACAGGGTCTCGCTCTCAGAATATATGAGATGATGAGTGATCTCCAGAGGTTATACTACATATGCGCTTTTACATAGCGCGTCCGGTGAGTGCGCAATTTTATCGTTTGATCCTGGGCTTACTAGCTTCTATGCAAGACCCTGCGTTTACTCGCCTGGACATTACTATTATTTACAATTTCTGTTTTATGCCATT